CATGGGTAATGATGCATTCCAATTACGCAGTTAACAGCAAAACTGCATATGCAATGTCATGGATGTTGTCCATGCAAAAGGAAACAATTTCAGCCAAAGAAAGTACTTAAATACTTTCCACGAAACAAGAACACTTAAGAATTCTGATTCTAGACTGGAGTCCACTGCACTAGTGAAATGAATAGAGTCACCCTGTCATGTGAGCTAGAGAGCTGCTTAGTGCCTTTCAGCATCTGAAAGCAGTGCCATAAAATCTTCCCTCCCTTTTTGCTTTAAAAGCTTCCAAGGACACAGCCATTCATTTATTTTTCAGCTGCATAAGTTCTGTGAAAGAGTCTTCCAAAGAAGACATCATGAAAAAGACAGGGAAAAGGTGAAGATGCCAACTACCTAGAAGCAATTTCTTTTTGGTCCTGGAAGCAACACACCACACGTGCACCTGTAGTGCAAGTGAGCTGTAACAACAGTATTTTTTTTAAAAATAGACCCCAGATTTCTGCACACAACCTTAACAAGTCACCCCAAAACGTCCATTCTGCTCCACATTTTTCATCAACGGTGGAGCAATACCTTTGTCCCTGATAGCTGCTGATCAAAGAGTTCAACCTTAGCAAGCTCCAGAGCTCAAATTTACATAAGCAAATGCAGACAGTGGAGAGGAAGCCCACCGTCTCCTTTTGGTGTCTGCATAGATGGCCATGTTTTAGTAGCTGACAGATACAGATAGATCCTTTGGCACAGCCTGAAGGATCCTAGATTTCCTACATCAGAAAGTCATGAGTATTTTGTAATGAGTATTACAGGGATACATTATTCCCTGCTCAAGCAGTACAGAAGGTGCAAGGGAGGGAAAAAGAACCCTGAAGAAGTTGGATGCCTCCCTCACAAAAATCAACTGCCATCAGACAGAACACTTCTATAGAGTGGTGCACTCAGCAAACTTGTTACCAGGTTCTCAGAGCAGGGCTACAGGTGTCATGAGCAATAAACAGATCCCATAACAGTCTGAGACCCTAAACACATGGGAAGAGTTTAACCCAACCTTTCCAGAGCTTTAGGACAGTAGGGTTTGAAAGTACCAACATTTCAGCAGAGGAAGGGGAAGGCAGAGGAACTAAATGCAGCTTATGCTCATGGCAGACTAACTTTCAGCTTTAGCATTCCGTCCAGGACTGAAAGTCTGTGTGCACCTACAAGAACAGCTGACTGAAGACAACCAAGCACTCTCAGAAAATTTACAGCTATTGATTAGAAATGTCCACAGATATTCTAACACAATGAGCCACCCGCATCGGTGCTGCAAGGAATTTAGCAAGACTAGAGTGGCACAAAGACCTGGATTTCTGCATTAACAGATAGTGAAGGAGTAGAAATGCTTTAAAAACACTCAACTGGAAGAGGAGTCCAGCACAGCAGATTGGCTGGAAACCCCGATCCCAGAATTTGGCTGTCCCAGCAAAGTCAAGTAGCACCAATGCAAAATATGGTACAGGCCGTGTTTCTTCTGTTGAATCGTCTACGGCAGGAGGCAGTTGTTCCAAGAAAGACTACATTTTACACTATACACATTGCTGGGTAGAAAATCAGTACAGAGCACAAGTTTGGCACCACTGTGTCAGAAGTCAGTGCTGGAGGCCTACAGTCTAATCAGTGCAAACTGATCGGACAAACCCCAGAACCTTCCCTTGTTCTCAGCCTCATGAGCCAGAGCCACAGGAAGAGAGAATTTCATCAACTGAATTGGGTAAATAGCTATTCACAAGCCTCAGCAATTACCACAAAAGGCCAGGAGATACAACAGTGAAAAGTTGCATCTTGGACTTGACACTGTGCCATACTATATTGGGAAGTGACCTTCTAATGTTTCCCCAGGGCTCAAAGCCCCAAGGTATGGCTAGTGCTAGTCTTCAGATCTGACAGAAAGAACAACATCCAGTATGAATTCTATAGTTCTCTTCTGAAAATTCTCAATGTCCAAGACATACTTACCATAAATACAAGTACAGTGAGCAACAGAGCAACAGTCCAGTATTTGCCCACTGACTCAGTACCGATTCACTCATCACAAGTTAAGCAAAGCCATGTCTGGAAGTGCTTAGGCATGCAATACAAAAATTGGGGAGTGAAGAGACCAGCACCCTATCTCTCCAGTACGATCAGGAAGAGCTGAAGGAACACTGTACCCTGACTAATGTTCATCTACTGTGCACGAGTTTCTCTTTACAGTTACTGCAAAAAACAGAAAAAGCAGTTATGTATCAAATAACAAAACAAATTGCATAGTCATACTTTTACTAACTGTTATAATCCATATGTACACAAAGCAGAAAATTCATAGTAAGAAATGTAAACTAACACTATAGTTTGCTGCTACTTTCAACTTCCTATAGCATTCATCAATAAAGAAATAAAGGATGAGTAGTCTAGTGGTTTCAAAGAGTTTCTCTAAATTTTATAAGCACAATGTAATACATAGAATGTTAGACTGTTCAGTACCATGCTGTACCTGAAACAAAACCCAACAATAGATATACTGACCATAATGAAGTACTTTGCTCAAACAAAACAAAACTTTGACTTTCAAATCGATTCCTGAATCAAAGTAATCAATCACCAGAAAGCTAAGGCTAGTTCAGTAAGTCATTAAAAACTGTAGGGCAGAAAATATCTTCTGCCTGGAGTATATGTTTCATTATTAGAGAATTGAGAAAAATACACATATTGGTCATTGTTTGATGAAAAATAAGCATTATCAAGCAAACATTGATTTTAACTCTGCAAATCCAGTCAATAAAGGCAACTCCAAAGACAAAATGCTTTGATTTAATAGAATGTCATGGGAGCACCAAAACCGTGATTTCATTGAAAAGAACTGAACTGATCTAAAAAGTTTAATTCCAACAAAAGGAGAGGTTACCTCCCTCCTGTCCAAGCCACTCAACCCCACTACATCTTACATGCCAATATTACGACTTATGTGACCTCACAAAAAACAAGGTCAGGGAGCTAAACAGGTTTTTCTGCAGCTCTAGTTTCCTACTAGTCTGCCACGGGGTCAGAAGAATGCAAGTGGTGGCACAAGAAAAGCAGAACTCTGCCACAAGACTGTTCTTTTCAGGGGCAGACAAACATCAGACCTGCTGAGAGTGGAGTTTTACTGTACAGAAATCTTAATGCAAACAATGAAGGGGGCAGAAAGAAAAGCAAAAGGAATAAACAAAGTTGTACTTTCAAAAGGTTCCTGAAGAAGCCAATTCTTAGTTATTGATATTCCAAAACTATCAGTGATCATGGAGAAATACTGTGATTTGCTTCTAACAGTGTTGCAAGTGAATGAAAAAATTAGGTAGCAACAAAATTAAGGGGTCTGACCAACAGAGCCATGCAGAATTTTGTCCACAGGCACTCAAGGGCTCCATGCAATGCTAACAGGAATTTTACTTTTCATTCTTCAAAGGGCTGTTAAGAAAAACCTGAAGCACACAAGCATATGCTTTGGACTTTAAACTACCCAGTGCTGTCAAGTTCCCAGTTAAAGTTAACCAGACTTTACCGGAGTATTTGACGCTACAGGGAACAGTGTGACGTAGACTCTCAAACTTCAGGTCATGATGTGTCTTCCTTCCCATTTAAAATATCCTTACCTCCCACGCAGACGATTTTGTGCTTATTCAAAGTATAAAGTGTGGATCAGCTGTGGCATTTGAAGAATGGCTCGTTATCGTTAAAGCAGTGGTTTTACTTCCTTGCAAAAGTAGCCTCCAGAGCAAGCCTCTACTTGTAAGCATCTCAAACTGTATAACAACATCCAGGCTGAATACTCAGCTATCACAGTATTCAAAGAAATCAGTATTTTATTAAGCCATTTCCTGATGATTTTACATATACAGCCATCTAAATCTGTACTTAGAGAATATCATGTAAAGCTTCATCTGAAAAAAACAGGAAAACTAAAGACCTGGAAATCAGAAAAGCCATTCTGAAAGTAAATTCTGAAGTTTTTTATTATTCATGTTTTCGTGTCTATTCTCAAGCATATAAAGTACTAAAGTCAGTTAAGATAACACACAAAGAATTCTCATGTGTTTCATCAGCTTTCATGCAGTTTTTACAAAACAGTGAAGTAGTTTCAGACCTGTTTCATTATGGATTAGATAATTATCTAAATCGGTATTGCTAGATTCTGAAATACAAAATTGAACATGTGCAATAGAAAATTCCACAAGGCAATCACCTGCAGACTGAGAACAAACAAGCATGCATAGGCAGTTATCAGCACAATTACTTTTATTTACAGAATCAACCATGCTCTCCCATTAAATCCAAGATTCCATGAATTCTGAACAAGAATAACCAGAATTTGTAAATTAAGATTTTAATAGTGCAAGGATTAAAATATCTTCACAGAGCAGATAAAAGGTTCCTGAAACAAAATAGATATGTCTTATGGAACCAGTTGCTCTACCAGCATTTGTTTGTTTTCAAGGAAATACTAAGTTTTACAAATCTGAACTATTCACTCCTCGTTTTTTAAAGCTACTGCTAACAATCCTTTTTAAACAACTTACAAGTTAAATTCCTGAAGAGTGATAAGGCCTACAACAGTTTTAGACACATGCTACACCTTTATTTTACTGATCAAAAAGTTTGTTTGCATATTCAGAGATCTGGTAGAGTCAAAAATGCTCAGACTATAGAAAAAAATAAGCAAGCTGGGGACCAAATTCAAACTAGTTCTAGACATATCTATTGATGTTCAAATTTGGGAACTGTACTTCTTTGAATTCTTAACCATATACAAAACAGTCATCAATCTAGTCTTAAGTACTCTATCTTCCTAATACTGAATATCTAGTCTTAACATTACTGTAGTTATATGCATACTTGTCAGTAGTTTGATTATACACACAAATATTTAATATTTCCTACATTAAATTGCACTAAGTATTCGCTTGAGCAGTCTAATACAAACAAAAAATTTCTTATATATTAGACTATACCTGCAACTTTGTCCCGAATAAGTTTTGCAGATTCAACTTCGCCAATACTGCTAAATAGACTCCGTAACTCATCTTGCGTCATGTTCTGAGGGAGGTAGTTCACAATTAAATTTGTTCTACCAATATCATCCCTGCAATCTTCAGCCATGTGATCTTCATAACCATTAGACATTTTATAATATATCTGCAAAGAGAAAAATCTCAAATAAGTTCTAGATCTTTGCATTTCAATAAGCCAAACTTTCTCCACCTGAAATTTATTTGAATATTTTAAAAAACTGAGAACAAGCAATTGTTTCAATTACACATTTTTTCCACTCACCAAAAAAACCCCAACATCATTTGTTGAAATTTCTAGAGCAATTCATTGTTTCAAACTAACAAGCACGCCCTTTGACAAAGCTATGTACCATTAAAGAACTCTTAAGGTTTTTTTAACATTAGTAAAAAGCATCAAGACAGATTTTGTGTATGTTCCTGTAAATACCAAAGTATTCACTACAGCAGAGTTAAAAATCAGGTTCGCTACGTCCAAGCACTTGACTAGCCAGAATCAAAGCTTTCACCCCAATCTTAATTCCAACTTTATGCCCAGAAATCTTAAAAGACAGAAAGAGAAACAGCAGCAGCCAGATCTACCACAGTTTAGTATTTCAGCGGGGGCTTATTTATTTTCTAAATATTTTCTCCTTTACACATAGCTTATCCTGCATCCTAACGTGGTGTTATTGTTAAATGATTGCCTTCAGGTGACTGCTTAATTGCATATATGAAACAGATTAATCCATACTGGAACACCAATTCTGGTGCATATAAGGTGTTTGATAGAGTTTCTATTTTTGCACCTTTTTAAAGAAAGCCTTGAGAAAACATCCAGAAATTCCATCACATGAAGACACTCTCTGCCTTAGCCACCAGCATGGCCTGAATCCTGACATTTCAGATGCAGAAGACATCTACAACTCAAACTCACAGCAGACCCAAGCTGCTCCTCCTTCATGGCCTGCCAAAATAGATGATTTTAAAGCACTTTTATAACTACTTTGAAATAGTCACAGTCAAGATACCTAAACCCTATTCCTGCAACAGGAGAAAAATGAGGTCTAGCAGATTCAGGAAGTCTAGACTGGCACGTTCTTTCTGGAATCCACCACCAGGAAGCTAATTTCTTCTATGGTCCCAGACTCTGGTGCTCCAGTTTGCCGCTTTAGATTTATTCATCCTCTCAGTCTAAAAGCACTAAACATCTCTAGCTCCAAAACAACATAGTTTTGTTTAACAGCTCCTAGAAACAGCTGGGAAACACACAGAATTAACAGAAAAGCTGCTAAAAACCTGAAGCGAATTCATGGCCTTCCAACTCCCATTTCAGCATTCCTCCTCTTAAGTCATCACTATTTGTGCGTTTTAGCACAGAAGCCAAACACTCTGGCCTATTAGCAGCAGACACATCAGTTTACACCATAAAGTTGCGATAATGTTTAAGTATGAATGTGTTTCCAATTCAGACTCCACCAGTAAGAGGCATAAAACCAAACACTTATTTCTTGGTTAAATTAAGGGTGGTCTGAGAGGACCGAGTTTCTTCTTTAAGCCCGAGTTCTCGCTAGAAGAACACCACCACAAGTTTAGCTGCATATAGCTAAATCGGCAACGCTTACTTAGCTAATAATTTGTTCTTGCTATACTCTGTTCACCAACTCTGTAAATTCATATCCACACCACTGTATTTCCAGAATAAAGGTAAATGAATGCTTCACCTGATGCAAGAGATCAGTCTAATGACAAATTAAAGCACTAGAAATTTAGCAGACTTGCAACTCTTAACTCACTTCTGAAAGTTTGGTGTAAACTTCCCAAATTCAGGCTGAAATCTGCTTCTCATTGAATCTTTCAGTACCACCACAGAAGAATTCATTACCACAGGCTCAAAGGTGAACTTCATATTTACTTTAATAGAACTTTTGGCCAATACACTCACTTGGCCAAAAGAATAATAAAAAATGCCGTACATAAGCAACAATTATTAAAATTCCTCTAGCTGCAGTTTGCTTGAGAACTGAGAATATTATCTGAAGCAGATATCATTAGTACAGTGCTAACCTTACCTGAGGGGATAATCAGTCCAAGCTGAATTAGAACAGTTTAAGATATTGCTTCTCAGCCGCCAGTAAAACATCAGGTTAGGTGTTCAGAGGATGCAAAAGCTTCTGGCTCATCTCAATGCAGAGTGAGCCAGCAAGCCTTACAGTGCCATGTAGTCAATACTGCCTCCATCTGCCAATATATTTCTGCATTGAGATAGGTCAGAAGCATTCATATGATGACATATGCTTCTCAAATACAGTGGTTTTGTGTAACAACCATGAACACCAGAAGACAACTACATAGCATCAGCTTATAGGTTTTTGTGAAACTACACCCCTGCCCTCTGTGCTAAGGGCCTGACCAGCAATGGTACACTGCTTCATTTTACAGATCAGGATCTACTAAAGGACGACCCTTCCCAGAGACTGCACCACTACTGACAACGAGAAGTTGAATAATGGAAAAAAATCAGGAGCAGCAACTATAAATCCTAAGCTTATAAAGGGAATGCTGCCTGCAGGAAGGGACTTTTAGTCCCTTCACCAGTAGCTATTGTTAAGTCATGTTTGGCATTTATTTCACACTTTCTTCTTGCAAAGGTCAGATTTTTTTTAATATTTTTTTTTTTAAATAGAGTACACCATTTTAGAATAAACTATGACTAGACTTATGTAAATTTGAGATTTAGCACAGTATAGATTTAAACTGAATGGTTTGGGGTTTTTTTAATGTATTGAACCATTAACAGCTGGCAGCTTATAGGAGAGGTCTTGCTCCCCCTCAATTGCTGATTAGCCTTCTACCTCTCATTTCTGTGTTTCAAGTGGCAACACAAGCAAACCCCAGCACCCTTGTGTGCCCACAGGATAACCAATTTGTACCACGAAAGCAATGGAAAACTACACCAGGAGGGAAGCGCTTTTTGTTGTGTCAGCAGTTTTAATCTGCTTTCCTTGCAACAAGATAAGCACCAGAGCTAATGCCAGAGGATAGGAGAGCAAGAAGAAACTGCAAAGCTAGAGGGAGGGGAAGAGACTCCCCCATAGCATGATTTTAATCTGCCAGGTTGTCTCAGTTGTACTGTGAAATTATGCAATTAAATACAGATTCTCTTCCAGCTCTGTCAGAACTGTACGAGCACAACCTAAGAAAAGTTTCCTGTTCTGCTAAATGACACTCAAACAGCTGAACCTTCTTTGTTCAATGTATCTGAGCTATAAAACCGGATGACACGTTTTCAAAATTGTTTTAATGGAATGCAACTTTGCTTGCCTTTGTCCTGTATAAAATTCAAGCCCTACAAGCACAACACACCAATATGTTAATGAGTATGGAAGTTGTACAGTACAATTAGAGTATTTAGTAAGCAAAGGAAGAAGGGTTGAGATTTTTCCAGCTTTACAAAACAAAAGTTAAAATTTTCATTCATTTCAACCATATTTGCCCAAAATACAATACAAATCCTTCCTGCTGCCAAGATTCTCCTCCTGCCAAGCTGAAGATGCTACATACTTCATATACTTAAAAAAAATAGTATCTATTTTCCTTATCCTCCAAGGTATATCTACTGCCTAAAAAGGAAGCACCACAACTAGATACCAAGCACAGAAAACTCCCCAGCACACGATGATGGCAGGTTACCAGACTTATATCTAGCATTAAGCAAAATTGACAGGAGTTTGGCAAGTGGCTATCAACTAAATCATTTTACCACAGCCTTTAATCTCACTGTCTGCAACACTTGCTGTCTATATCGCCCCATGATAAACAAGGAGTGCCAAGGGCATTGTTGGTTCAGAAGCAATTAGAACTGTGAAGGAAGCTTTCCACCTGCTTTTATTCAGACATTAAAAAAAAAAAAAATATAGAAAGCCTTTGCAAACATTTTCATGGGTTACCAGGAACAAAAGCATGCAAAAGCAATAAAGGCATAGTAGAGAAGAGGAAAATGAGCAGAGTGCTGATAAAGAAGATGCTCCTTTCTTCCTAATCTTTCACCAAGCACTTACACAATCTACTGCAAGACTAACACTTTCTGGCCATCCTGGAAGTTAGTGGGAAACCATTTCTTCCACTGGTGGTGATCAGTTCTCATGCCAGTGAGAATACAAACAGCCCCTATAGAATTGTTAATGTTTGCATACTGAAAAGAATTCCAAAAAGATGGCGTAAGATGCTCAGTATGGATAAAATGAGAAATGCTACATAAGAAAACAAGTTTTTTATTCTGCTCTCACTGAAATATGTTGAGGGAATCTCCTGATCTTTCTTTATCAGAGAGAAAACAATCAAATTATATCAGTAAATATTCCAGACCTGAGAAGGAGGCATAGAACTAACTTGGATCTATGAGTTCATTAACTGACCAATCCACATTGACATAAATCAGGAGCCTGAACACACTTATATTCTCAGCAGAAAAGTCAAGGATGGAAACAAGGCCTAACATCTCCATTTGGGAAGGCTACCTGTAATGAGACTGGTACTTGGCAGCCTCTCCAAAAAGGCCTTCGGTTCTATGTCCCAAAAAAAGGAATTTTTAAGACTAAGTTCCAATGCACTGCAATTCCTAAAATGAGATTTTTTTAAAATTTTTTTTTAAATAAGCAAACCTTCTAACAGCTTGCTTTCAAAGGCAGCCTTCTTTTTCTTCCCTGCGTAAGGTGCCCTCAACCTTATGATGCCAAATATGCATAGAGCAACCAATGGGAACCATCTGTACTGCGCCCAAATCTTCCATTAATTCTGGAGGTGCTCAAATTCACATAGACCAAACACTTTACTACCTGCCTCAAAGACTGTTCATTCACCAACAGCCAGGTCTGCATTCTCAGGACTAGACTGAAAAGCTCTCCCAGGTATTTTTTTCAGAAACGTTGCGCTGACCATGACAATCACCTTCTCACAAAAGTGCACCAGATCCCACAAGGTTTAAAAGAAAAATTATACAAATGGTTCTGGCAGCAGATGGATAAAAGCTTTTTCCAAATGACACTCGTTATCTCCATTCAGAATTCTAGGATACAGTGCTATTAAATCTTTCATTGTGAAATGTTTGCTAAGAAGGAATACCTGTACAAATTTCAGGACATAATC